ACTGACAAAAGGAGAATGAAAGTAGAGTTCCTCAGATTCCAACTTGGATGAATATGAGGAGGATGCAGCCAGCAACTAGGATAGCAAACAGAAGATGCAAAGCTGGTTGTGTGTGTGCATGTGTGCACACGTGTTTGATTTGGCAAGTGGGTGACAGAGAAGGGAGGGAAGAAGATAATTTCATTTTACCTAAGTTGATTTTGAGAGAGAGAGAGAGACACACACACACACACGCGCGCGCGCACACACACTCTCTCTCTCTCTCTCTACTGACACTGCAGATACATGCTCAGGAGAGATTTGGGAAGCACCATCATACAGATGTTGAAATCCGGAAGGATGTGAGATTTTTTCCCCCAAAGGGCAGTAGGTGAAGGATGAAGTCTGGGGAACTCTATCAGACTTTTCTTTTTGGAGCTTGTCTGTTGGTATTACTATTACAGAAAAAACCAGTCCTACGTATGAGTGTATACATATGTGTGTGTGTGTTTTAGAGGGAGAAGAATCTAAGGAAATATTTTGGTTTGTTTTTACTTTATTTTTTCCTTTCCCAAACAAAGGGAAAGATATTAAGGTAATATAAGTTTGAAAATTACTAATTTATTTAAACCCCACTTACAACTTAAGACTATGTCAAAATTTCAGTATTTATTCTATTTACTCAAGCTACTATGTGGTCTTTACTAATAACAGTAAGTAATCTACCATTTCATTTCCTGTAAATCAAATTCATTTAACCCTAGCTTTACTGACTGGAAAACGGGAGGAGATTAAGCAACAGCTGAAGCAGCAGGACAGTAGCCTGAGTCAGATCATGAGTGCCCAGACACGGGGTCAGGACGCATGAGATGGGGCCTCACCTCCGAGTCAGAGCTGTCCAGCTCGGCCAGAGTGGGGGCTTTGAGGAGCTTCTTCCGCTGCACAGGCACCTGCTGGGCAGCACTTAACCCATTTTCTTCTGTTTGTGATGTTAAACGTCCACTCACCACAGATGATTTCACAATGTTCTTTGGAGACTCAGGGATAGTTACATCTGGTAAAAGAAAGGCAAAGGCTTACGTTTCCTTGAGCAAAGAAAGATAAATTGGTGTTGGAAGCACACGCCAAATGGCAAAGGCATTTCCACGTCAAAAATACAGTAAAGAGGCTTAATACAGTAGTGCCTCCCTGTGTATTTGAAACATTCTTAGTTATACATTAACTGTCAGAGTCAATTAAAGGAAACTTTAAAACGAATAATAACATATTCATATGTGTAGATCAGAATTTAGAGATGGAAAAAATTCTATGTATAGCTAGCTCCAATCTCTTTATTTTCCAGATGAAGAAACTGAGGCTCAGAGAAGCTGGTTTTATTTTACAGCCTCTAAGGAGCTAGTGGTGGATGGAAAAAAGAAAGAGCATATGCAAAGCCTTACCAGGTGCATAGCCATAAGATTTGAAAATGTTTCGGTTTACAAATCAAAATAACTAATAATTTATATTCATATAAACATATTTAATGTGAAGACCAAAAAACTGGGACACATTCCCTTTAATAAATTTGATTTAAATTATTAAGAGCTCAAATTTGGGTGGGAAAGCAATACAACAAATTAAAATGAGGCAGAATATAGTACAGAACGACATAGATCATACGGGTTCAAGGTCTACCTCTCCTGCTAGTTGTCTGACTCCAAGCAAGCTACCTAACCTCTGTTTCATCATCTGTAAAATGGGGATACGAACAAGCTTAAGCTTGTTGTGAGATTAAGGCGGCTAATAACTGATACTGTACCTAGTATAGGCAGCACACAATACACGTTAGCAATTATCAACACTGCTTCTCATCTCTATTTGCAAGTACGTAAAGAGTTAGGCTCAGACTGACTCAGCCAGACTTGCAGTTGGTGTGTGCCACAGCCGACACACAGACCCTTGTCAGTACTGATTCCACAGGCCTGCTGTTTGGTATTAGGGCCTGGAATCCTCCAGTGCAAGTGGAAATAATTTCCTTCTGTATTTCAAATGAAGAGTTAAGCACGGACTAAATTCAATAACTACAAAATTAGAGTATTTAAAAGTGAAAAAGAGGGCCGGCCCGTGGCTCACTCGGGAGAGTGTGGTGCTGATAACACCAAGGCCACGGGTTCGGAT